TAGAGAGCGCTTCCAAAAAACAAGTAAACAACAGTGGCGCGTACAGAGGTAAAATGTAATACATATGTGAAATTTAGGAAACAAATTGGATTTATAATAAATTACATTTAAAATAAATAGTTTATGAGAATAAAGGAATTTTTGTAGCAACAAGGGTGCCAGACCTGAACTGATCCCCTCGTCCCTTCATAATGTATAAAGAAATTATTCAATTTGTAAAACCCTTAAAGGCGTACTTCATTGGTTCCCTTGACAGGCAATGATTTATTACTTTGCATCGAATATGATCGTACTATAATTCCAATGCATCTGATCGCGCATTCTTTGCACAGGTCCGGATTAAGCAATATTTTTACACTTATGACAAATATTCATTTATCAAGTTTGGAATTCAGAAAATAATATATTTTAATTAATGTCTTGCTTATATTAAATAAACTTATAAAATAATTTAAATATATTTATTGTCCTTTATATATTTATACGTATTTATATTTATATTTTATCATAAAACTGCGATTTTTCTAATCAAATTTTGGCAACCCCGCTTTTCCAGGATGCTGAACATGTATTTTTTCGATCGCAAAAAATAATATCACATTAATTTTCTGCTCCTTCAAAATTACGGGAATTTGAAAAATTTCATTAAGTTGAAGACTTATGTAAAGTAAATAATTATTAAAAATATGTTACAATCATTTATTCAATATTTTATTAACAGTTTATAGTAATATCACGGTTACCATTGCACTATGTGTGCGAACAAAATTATACAATGTCCTACAATACATTTGCGCATGAAAAAATAACTAGGTAATTATTGACGCGACAGGTATAGCTCAAGTTTCCAGATACGACTGCTCGGCTACCGACTAGGCTCCGAACTGCCTTCATTATAGTCGCCCTATAGCCAGTCTAGGTGGTCTATGATTTTTACTCTCAAATATGTTTTATTTATTTATTTATTTTTGCGAGATGTTGAACCAAACTTAACATTCGAGCTTTTACTATTGTCTGTCTCCCTTTAATATTTTCATTTGTTCATTCAAATATCAAAATTAAATTGTTATTTGTCATGTCGTTGTCAACAAAATACAAAGAAATAATGCTGCCGTTTGGAGAATAGTACAGACAGTCTTCATAAATGGTTACAAGATTCGTGACCATTAATTTTGTTTGAAACAGTAATATGATTTCCTTCGCGTTGGCAATATACCTTTTTAGTAGTGACGTCACATACGCCAAATAATTCCCCATAGGGCTCATTGTTATGAACAATTTCCCAATATTTTTACTAGATCGATTTTCAACCTTATGTACTTTGGACATAAGTGCCAAAAAAATGTCTTCTTTGTCATGACCTTAAATGTCGCGATATTCTGGCAATATTAGAAATATTTAAGAAGTTTCAAATCCCAAGTGACAAACTAAAAGAATTATAGAATGTATATATTTAAAGAACCCCGCACAAAATCTATGGAAAATGGGTCCCAGTCGATTTTGCTGAAATTGAAGTATGTTATAGTTTTTGACTTTCTGATCAAAAGTTGTCATGGGCCCAAGGTGATTCTATGAATAGTTTCAGAGATAAAGAGAGGGGGGGGGAAGTATGTGATTTTGGCTGAATTGACCTGAATTCGGGGAATAGCTTAGCTATCTAAGGTCACCTGGAGGTCAGGTAAAGCCCGTTTCAAGGTCAAACTGAAGAAAAGACTTGTATTGAATTTTGACCAGTGGGTGTATAGGTTTTTGGGCTTGCAGAATCTAAATCTGGAGATAGCGTAACCGTAAAGGTCACCTTCAAGTCAATTCAAGGTCATTTCAAAAATAAAAGGCTTGTATTGAATTTCAACCAGTGCGTATATAAGTTTTTTTTTTGGGGGGGGGAACTGAATTTGAGGAAGCTTAGGCCTACAAGGTGACATTTAGGTCAAGTCAAGATCATTTCAAGGTCAAAGTAAAGAAAAGGCCTTTCACGAATGTTAACCTATAAGTACTTTACTTAAATTTAGAAATATTCTTTTATATCGTTTTTTGTAAGTTTTAAGCACATTGTTGTTACTATTTAACCTCGTATTTAACCAAACATGTGTTGGTTGTTTTTAAATATTTCCAAATCCTTGTAAAAATATATTAATTTGAAGTTCATTTTTATAGTATCTATGTAAAGAGTACACAAGGGTTGTATTCGGTCTGTACAATTTCAACTATGACAATTTGTTGCGTCACACTAAAAGTCTATTGAATTTTAGTAAAATAAAAAATTATTAAAACAATAAGATCAAAATTACGTTAAAAAACAACACTTTGTTTTACTGGCTAGCGATTGGCGTAATTTTTCACATTTTGTTCAATCTCGATGTAGACGCAGCGGTTTGTTATTGTTCATTATAAACGAATCATCATATTTCAAACTAATCAGTAGTTTTCACAGCTAAATCACATCCCTTTGTTATTTAATTATTTTTATAGACTTTTTATGCTTGACGTAAAAGTTAATAAGTTCAAAACGCGTTTTATAATTATTTTATATATATTTTATATTAATATAAAAATTTGGGGTGGTTTTCACCCCTACAATTGGGTTTTTGACTTTGTTTCTGATGAGGGATCAAATGTAATATATTTGTAATTAATTTTCGTCCAAGAACCACCTCTCTGTCTTAAGTAGATCAATACTTAAAGCTGTTTGACGCACAACAACTTATTGAACAATAAATTACAACTTATTTTTCAACAAATTAATTTCACATTTCAACATTTACAACAATTTATTGGCCAATTTCATTGATGCCAACCTCGAACTTCATTGTTCGTCTACTTTCAAACTCGAATCATCATAATTGGGTTGGCATTACAAAAAAATATAAAGTGTAACAAGATGACCTTAAAATTGACCAATAAATTTGGTAGAACATATTCTAAATCACCAATTTCTTTGTCAATAAATTGTACTCCAATTTCTGTTTTACATTTCATAAAATAAATTGAAGGTCAACTTGTTCAATTTATTGTTCAATAAATTGTGTGTAAAACAGCTTTAGTCCAGGGAACCAAGGATTTTCCCTCTGAATTCTTTCCGACGGAACCGATTGACGTAAAACTTGGACTATAAGTAGAAAATAGCTCAAGAAACAAAAGTTATATAGTGCCGATAAGCGCTTTTGTCCAGGGGGTGAAAGAGGATGAAAAATAAAATATTGGAAATAAGCCCAGGAATCGCTAAAACAGTCAATTTTAAGCAAAAAGTATCTTATGAACATTTAGTTATTGGTGATTGAAAATGTAAATTTTTTATTAAATAAAAGACCTTTTCCAGTAGTTTTTCGCGAATAGTTCGGAAAATAGACATTCTATGGAAAGAAAACATCACGAAAAAAATGAAGCTTATAGAAAAAGAAAAATATTGAGATTTTTTCACTTATGTAGGTCAATAGGTGTTGAAGATAATTTCATGTCCTCCAAAAACTACAATTGGAAGCATTTAGCGTGGAATAACTAAAAAAAATCTATTTTCAAGAAAAATGCACAGCAAATTTTTTAAAGTACTTTAAAAAATCTTTAAAATGAATTTGACTTTAAGTCATTAGCATAAAAATTAACAGAGTTATGATCAAAATAAAACTGTTAATTCGCTTTTTCGGAAAAAAAAATCAGTACAAAAACTGATGAATTTTTAACGAGATTTAAAATTAAAGTTAATCCTTCTACAATTTACATTTTTTATGTGCTAACAATATATTGTACAAGTTTAAGCGGTTTAGAATGCATATTTTTGAAAATATCACTTTTTTATTGAAAACAAATATTTTTTTAATTGCAAAAAAATAACATTTTTGAAAATAACTAAAAATAAAAAAGATTCGAAAAATATTCAAGAGTCCAAAAGTTTCTATTTTTTTTCACAAAATATTTTGCTTATTTTTATTTGTGTAGGATAAAAATTAACAGAGATGTCGCTGCTAGAACTTTGCAATTGAGGGCGAAGGTAATGTTTTTCAAACCCTTTAACGCTCGCTTTAACCTCAAAATTCTCAAAAATAACGCGTTTAAAAATATTAAATTTTACAGTACTTTTAGCTTTCGAAATTTTCCATAAAATCGTTTTTGGATAGTCTTAATAGCTTCAAAATTAAGGAAGTTGTTAAAAAACCAACGGTACCTTAATGCTTCAATTTTCAATTTTCTGTTCACCCCCCTAAACAGAGATTTTAACGAAAACCTCGAAACAGGTCAATTTAATTTTGTCAATTTGTTTACATAAATCATATTTTTAATTCTTTTTGAGTAAATATGATTTTTTTATAAATAAAAAATATAGTTTTTCTGAAATAAAAAATAACGGTAGCAGCCCCCAAACACGGAATCATTTGCGAAATATTTGATTTTTATCATAAGTAATTTCCATTTTGTTGCATTTCAAAATATTGATTAGAACCCCAGAAATTTTGAAAAAACTGTTTTGAGGGCGAACTTTGAGGGTGTATTTCACCCCGTAAATATGTTTTTCCGCCGATAAAAAAATACGTGTCTCTTTACATTTTTTAGAGTAGATTGAAAAAAAAAAATACAAAATTTATTCGTTTTTCTGCTTGTTATGATTTTTTTAAGTTTCTGAAATCTTCCCTTAACTTCTAGCCTCCCTAACTCTGTTAATTTTAATAGTACAAGAAAAAGTCAAGATGCCATTTTTATGTAGAATTGTATGCTTTACAACTTTTATTTTTTTTTTCTAGCACTTGCCCCTTTTGAGTTATATTGAAAAAACCCTTTATTTTGTCACTTTTTTTCACGCCTAGCCGGGGGTTGAAAAAAAAAAATTACTGTCATTTGTTATTATATACCTCAAACTAACTCATATCAAAAATTTAGGCAAGTTGACCAAAATTTCGATTTAAAAGCTTATTTAATTGGATCATAGACTCGGCCTCTTGTTCCGTGTATCTCGTGCTGCCGCATTAAAAGACTCGCTAATAACGCCGACGTTTCTGCCTTTCCAGCTCCAACAACAGGTCATCGCCGGCCCCCGCGTACCAGCTCAACTCCATTCCCGCCGCCGTCGCCGCCAACGTCGCCCCCATCGGCGGTCACCACCAGCACCAGCAGATGGTGAACTCCAGGCGGGTGCTCCGGCCGCGCACCGAGCCGATTTCCTACGTCGAGAGCCCCGACGTGCTCTTCAACGGGCTGCTGGACAAGCCCCGCACCAACGGCAACCTCGACTACAGCAGCGACTCCAGCGAGGGCGAGATGCCGCCGCTGGCGCCCATCAAGGAGCTCAGTCCCTCTGAGCTCAAACATAGGTCAGTGTATGTTCCTTGTAATGGTCCTATTTAGCAACTTTTTTTTCCTAGGGGACATGACCACTTCGCGACTTTTTGTTTCGGCAAGCTGAATTTACCACTATAGATGCTAAATATTATGTGCAATAACATATTAGAATATATTTATTTTCTTGGGAATTGGGTTCTGGTGTGATAGTCGGTTAAAAAAAAAGGATAAAAAACAGCAGCAATGGGAGCACCAATTTCATCAACAATAGCACAATTAGTTATGGAATTTTTAGAGGAAGTAATTAATAATCTAAATTTTGATATAACGAGCGTTCAAATAAAAACGTTGTCGAAGTTGGCTCTGACACATTGGACGTAGGGAGTAGCTTATAGCGACCAACTTAACCTCATTTCTCAACGAGCTGTATAGCAGCTGTCAGTTTCAATAACGTTAATGACTATATAACTTTATTTTAAAGAATAATCGTGATAACAATAACAAACAATTAAAGGAGCTGCGGAAAGTGTCCCCCTCCTTGTTATAACAATAAATTAAAGCAGCTGCTGAAAGTGTCCCCCTCCTTGTTCCAAGCACTTTTCACACCTGTTCCTCAAAGAATTAAAGACATTTTCTAAGATGCTCGGGGTATTGTTAATTTCACGAATCTTGTCTATAAGTCGAGCCTGCAGATGGTTTAAATCAGGAATAGGCAGTTCAAAAATAGTGTTTTTAAGGTAAGGCCACAAAAAGAAATCACACGGCGTAATATCACATGACCTCGGTGGAAATTCATGTTCAGCATTGAGACTTATTAGTCGATTTTGGAAAACTTCCCTCAACATATTCATCGTCTCGCCTGCCGTATGTGCCCTTGCGCCATCTTGTTGAAAGTAAAAGTTTGTAATTTCGTTTTCTTCCAGCTGGTTAACAAAAGGAGCGATAATTTCTTCTCTATACCTTTGCGCAGTAAGAGTACCATTAAAAAAAATAGGTCCATAAATCCTCCTTCGATTGAGAGCACACCAAACTCCAATTTTTTGAGCGTGTAGAGGGCCCTCGACAAAAAAGTTATCTGGTTTTTCAGAAGACCACATTCTCATATTCTGTGAGTTTACGTAACCACTTAAATGAAACCAGGCTTCATCAGAAAAAAAGGTGATATTATGAAGTTCACCGTAGTTGTTTAAAAACCATTCACAAAATACAGCCCGTCGCGGAAAATCAACTTCATGAAGTTCTTGCTGACAAGTTAAACGATAGGAGAACAAACGCAAATCTTTTTTTAACACTGTGTGGCAGGTACCGACTGATACTCCCACCATTTGTGATAAAACACGTACAGAAGTTCTTGGCGCATTTTCCATTATTTGTTGGACATTTTCTTTTAATTCTTCAGTCCGCTTTTTAGGTCGGCCGCTTCCTTCTTTTCTTGTTACACTGCCCGTTTCACGAAAAACATTAACACAACGCTGAACTGCACTTTGAAAAATTTTGTACTCAACAACGCCGGGAAATTGATTTTGAAATTCTATGAAACATTCCTCAATAGAATACTTCCATATTCCATCAATCTTGCGTCCATTTCTAAAGTAGGACTCTATGATAAACACTTTTTGTTCTTGAGAAAACACCATTTTAAACGCTTTTTAAAACGAAAATATTCAAATTGATAGCGGCGATATAGCGCTTTGACAGATGACGTTTAAGTTCATTTGCTATACGCTACGCCCTACGTCCAAATTTTCAGAACCAACTTGACCACCTTTTTATTTGAACGCTCATTATTTTTCAAAAGATTTGTTGATGATTGCATTGTCGCACTTCCCAAAAATAAAAATAATGATATTTTAAATGAGTAACAATTTTCTTCCAAAATTACAATTTACTATCGAAATTGAAAATAAAAACAAAATTAATTTTCTTGATTTAACTTTAATTCGTAAAAATAATCAAATTTTAACTAAATGGTTTACAAAATTCACATCTTCAGATAGATATTTAAATTTTAATTCTCACCACCCGATAACATACAAAAAAAGTGTAGTTATTGGTTTAATCAATAGAGCGATACATTTAACAAGTTCCATTTTTCGACCTAAAATTATAAATAAAATAAAAAATATTTTACTGAATAATAATTATCCTGCCAAATTTTATAACAAAATTATTAAAGAAAGAATCTTTAACTTCTATAATACATCAAAAAATAAAAAACCAATAAATTCGGATCATAACTCTGTCAATGTCAATATATTGCATTACCATATGTACAATCTTTATCTGAAAAAATTAAATCCATTTTATTTAAATACAACATTTTAGTTGCTCATAAATCGTTTAATCAATTAAATAAATTTTTCACTCCTTTAAAAAGCAAAACTCCTGTACTAAAACAATCTGCTGTAATATATTCTATTCCATGCAATGATTGCAATGGTCATTATATAGGTATAAAACACAAAATTTAGAAAATAGATGAAAGGGCCATAAATATACTAAAAATTGTGCAACAGCTCTTAATAAACATGTCGAGGAAAAAAAACATAGTTTTAATTTTGATCAAACCAAAATTCTCGTAAAAGAACCAAATTATAACAAAAGATTAATTCAGGAAATGATTCATATAAAAAAAAATAAAAACAGTATTAACGATAAAACTGACATTAAAAATTTAAGTCAAATATATCACAATTTAATCAAATAACAATAATTATAATATTTCTATTATTTCCACTTATTATCATCTAAACAAATCGCATTTAAAATAGTTTTCTATACTTTTAAAATATAATTTCCAATAAAATTACTAGATGTCCTTTCTGTCTTTAATTTACAAAATTTCGCCACCAGGCGTACTACCTGTTCGAATTTAGCATAATAATTATTATACTTTTCATTTCATTTTCATCGTATCCACGTACTAAAAGTATTATTCAGACACATTTACAATATTAAAAAATTCAGGCCTTTTTCAAATTTAAAATGAAAAAAGATAATATATTGTGAAAATATGTCCACTTTATGACGATTGATGCATATTTTTTAAATTTTGACGTAAAATGGTTGTTGTTTAGGTATGTATTAACGAAATTATTTTCTTATTAAATTAATTGTAATTACAGGAAAAAAATTCTAATTATTAAGTAAGTTATTGTTTGTTTTAGGTTTTAATTTATTAATTATAACAATTTTAATAATAAAAGCCTTTTGAAAAAGTTCCTGATCAGGAACGAAACGTCAAGAAAGAAATCGCTGCTGTTTTTTTATCCTTTTTTTTTACCGACTATCACACCAGAACCCAATTCCCAAGAAAATAAATATATTTTAATATTAAACAAAAGGTTCAAGAAGATTTCAACATAACATATTAGTTTCCACAGTCATAAAAATGTGGGGAAGATTGTTTACAGGGTGGTTAATTATATAATTTTTACGTTAATTTACGTTTTTCGTTTATAACTTTTTTCCGTTCATTTCCATGAGAAAACAGTAAAGTAATTTTTTTTCATCTTCAAAAGACCTACAAAACTAGCCCTCGAGCGTCAAAAAATATTGATTAGATCAAAAATTATAAACAGAAGAAGTTTATTTATGACTTTTGAATTAAACATTTATAAACAGCGTTATTATTACTAGAACGTTTTGGTATCGCATCCTCTCATTCCTTATCACCTGTCTAAAAACTCACACGAAATCTGGAATCGGTAAGTTGAATAGTTTACAAGTTACGGCCTTATAAACAAATTAACTAATTATTAGTCTGGACGATCCCGAGGATCTTCCACAATCGCACTGATTTTTTTCGTGGTAGATTTGATAATAATACATTGAAATCTATAATTTTTTTTTAAATTTCAAATTTGCAACCTGGAGATTTTTTTTAATTTTTAGCCTTAGTTGCAAAATGAAATATACGACGCACGAGCGTGATATAGTTATATATTATTACATATTCGGAAAGCTTGTGAAGAGCTTTAAGTTAAAAAAAAATCGTCAAGATTCGTTGTAGAACAACGGAGTTACAGACTGTCAAAGTTGACGGCCTATTATTAAACAAATTAGGTTGGTAGCGGCAAAAAAAACTGTAACCGGCAACCTTTGATTTTTGGCGAACCGTGGTGCGGCGGAAGGGTGGGGGAAGCGAATGACAGCGAGTCCGAAGAAAATGACGATAATATTCATAGTCCTGCCGTTAAGTAAGCGAAATTCGCTTGAAAATAATATATTTGACAGTCTGTAACTCCGTTGTTTTTCAACGAATCTTGAAGATTTTTTTTTTTTAACTTAAAGCTTTTTTCATAAACTTTCCGAATATGTAATAATATATAACCATATCACGCTCGTGCGTCGTATATTTCATTTTGTAACCAAGGCTAAAAAATAAAAAAAATTTCCAGGTTGCAAATTTAAAAATTTAAAAAATATATAGATTTCAATGTATTATTATGAAATCTACCATGAAAAAAATCAGTGCGATTGTCGAAGATGCTCGGGATCGTTTAAACTAATAATTAGTTCATTTATTTATGAGGCCATAACTTGTAAACTATTCAACTTACCGATTCCAGATTTCGTGTGAGTTATTAGACAGTGATAAGGAATGAGAGGATGCGATGTCAAAACGTTCTGGTAATAATATTCTATAACTAGTACAGTGGAGAGATATTGTTTCTAACTTGTTTAGATTTTCCAAAACCTTCGTCAAAAGACTACTATAAATCCACTAAAAATTGTGCATAAAAACACCCCCATAAGAAGTTATTTCTTGGACAAAAATCTCAAATGAACCAAACAGAAAACATAAGGCTGTTGAGGTGTTCTTATATTATATGTTTTAAACAAAAAACATTTCTTTGAAATATGTTATTTAGAAACGAATGAATGATTTTTTTAAAAGCCACCAAGTTTAAGGAAATAAAATTCCCCTAAAGTGACTTTATCTAAATAATTAGACCTATTTTAATATACTCTCTAGGTACGTTCTGAAATACATATATCAGTAATCGTTAATGTAAATTACTGTAAAATACAGCATAATTCTAGCAAACACATTTTAATTACAGGTAGACTTGTTTTCATTGTTTCTATAAATTGTAACAACCGTTTTATTTATAGCGAGCTATAGTATTAATACGAGCTATTAATTATTGTTTTCCACGATCCGAATAGTGATAATGACTGTACTTCTACACAATAATCATTTCAGACAATCCTAAAAAATGTGTCTTCGATACAGTCCTCGCGTATAGGTATCTTTTAAAATTTAAATTATTTTCAACAATCCTTACGACTTGGAAGTAGCTGTTGAGATAATTATTTAGTATAATGCCAATATTTACTTGCGTATATAAAAATGTTAACGCGGGGGACCTTGGACGTTTGATAATTTCAAGGTAAAAAGTTCGTATTGGTTATCGTGATTACGCACGGAGCGCCATCTACGGTTTTGTGTTTTATTTGTAGTGGGCGATAAGGAGATAAGTGTCGGGCAATGGCGGCTCGTGACATTTTGAATAGGTGAGACCCGTGGTTTTTTTACTAAGAGGGCAAGGAAGAAAAAAAATGCCGCAGACAAAAATTTTTAAATTTTCAAACGATTATAGATGCATCTGGAAATTTTAATTGCATTTGCAATATTATAGAAAAACTGATGTTCACGTGCGTGATTTTTATTCAGATTTTTTTATACAGTTATTTTGATTTTTGATAAATGTAATAGGTAATTGGAAATTAGTTTACCTAAATATCAAAAATATCAGAATATGTGTATTTGTTTCTTTTGGAGAACTGTCCGGATCCAGCAATACGCAATTCTGGTACTTCCTTCCTTGAGTCGATTTTTTTCTCTTGTTTACAGGGAGAGGGGATTACGAAGGCTGAGAGAGGAACTCCGGGCGGAGGAGATGAAGCTGGTGCTGCTGAAGAAGCTCAAGCAGTCGCAGCAGCTGAAGGAGAACGTGGCGGTGCTGCCGCCCAGCATCCCCCCGTCGGCGCTGCCGCCCACCGGGCTGCCCAGCGGCCTGAGCATCACCCCCACCACCGTGAAGGTGCCGGCCAACAAGATCCAGCCGCCCATGGCCGCCCACTCGCGGCACCCGATCTCCAACTCGCACAAGCCCATGCAGGGGGCCTCGCCCAACCTTCTCCGAGGGGTAAGTTCTGTAAAATTACAATCTGCTTCAAAATGTTGAAAGGACGTATTTAAATGTTGGCAAAATCCTCGAAAAGCTTTTTGAGGTTGAGAAAGAGCGCATTTACTTAAAAGGAATCATATATAGGCGCCGAGATACGGGATAGGAGCCTTGGCATGTCCAAAACCTACTTGTGGGCGGGGCTAACTCAGACGCAAACTTACTTGTGTCGATCTGTACATATTTTCTTACAAGCTAAATTGCATTAAGATAATCTATAATTATCAGTTAAACTTTTATGCAGAAATGCTTCTTTCTGAAAACTATTATAACGTAACGTATTTGAAAAACATTTTATTTTTAAAAATCTTTATTTTGATATGTTTTCAATTATTTTGATATCACTGGGTTTACACAAAACGTATCTTTGAACTCTGAAACGTAACTATTAGGTTAGTGCTGCGCATAAAGCCGAGATGCTTGTACAGAATTTTGACGACATTCCCCGTAAACTAAAATCGTGTCCATAAGCGCATTATTATTGTTCTGTGTGCCTTTCTGGCAAAAATGTTTATCGCTAGTCATTAAAAAGGCCTCGGAAAAGGCCAAAAGCTTTGTTAAAACACCTCCGCAACAAGCTCAATTTTGATACATTTTTATGAAATGATCCTTACTGCAAACATTTTTCTTTACTGTAAAATAAATACTTCGTTTTGCCGTAAAATTATATTCAAAAATAAAATTAACACTTTTTTTTCTACAAAAGTACTTATATTACAATATTATTTAGCATTGACATTAAAGTGTGACTTAAGCTATCAGTTATTGGGGTCAATATCGTTTATTAAAAATGCAGGCCGGGATTTTTACATCAGGTATAGGTGTGTTGATCGATTTGTGAGCTGTTAAAGGGGTCCGCACACTAGAAGATAATGTAGAACGTGAAAAGTAAACGTCGATTTGATCAAATTCTATTTCGATTCCAGTAAAAATTAATACTCGGCAAAAAAATTAAAGAATCAGAAAAAAATACACATTTTTTTTTGTGAGTTTTGAAGATTCTTGAATAGAAAAGAGTCAAAATTTTGATAAAAATCAAATGTTTCAAAACTTTTAAATTTCAAAAAAAATGTTTCTCGACATTTGAAATATTCAATGCAAAATTGTAAGATATTTTAAAAAATTTTGAAAAATTTGATTTTTTTTTTAAATTGAAAATTTTCAATTTTTTTTCGATATTTGATGAGTATTTATTGTGAGAAATATAACGCAAAAAAAATTGTTTACTTAATACTTAACACACTACAAACACTTTCTAGTAAACCAAAAGACTGAAAATTTAAAAAAAAGAGTGTAATGCCATGACATATTTGGCCGTTCTCTTTTCGCCGAATTATCGTTGCCCTTTTGTTTTTTGGCGGCCTAGCACTCTGTTGTCATATCACATCAGGTGTATTGATATTATGTAATTCATCTAAACTAGGTCAGTGTCAGAGGTCAGTCGCACTGAAAATCACAAACTAAACACAGTGCTTTAAAAAAATACTAACAGATAACGAGTACCTACTTTTTATATAAAAAATCGAAATTCGAATACGTGATTAGTTTTACTCTAGCGTCCACGGGATTTGAGTAAATCGCTAAATATGGCCGAAAATCCTGAAAAGTCGCGGAAAAGCCGACTAGTGGGCATCAGCAATGTTTTGAAAAAAATTATTTGGACCGGGTAAAATCTTAATCTTATGCATTGTAATGCGCTTTTAATTTTCTGCAGATCCCATCTCCTGTGACTTTCTTTTAAAAATCAGACGACCATTTAAAGTTCTAGTATTTTAGAGGTAATGGGGTCATTTAGTAAATTTTCAAAAACGTTCTTATTTTGTATACACAAAGTATTGCTCACGTTTAGGCGATCTTGAAAATTTCAACACAATCCGTTGAGCGGTTTTCAAATTATATGATTTTTAAAATACGATTATTTATTTGTCTCAGTCGTGGCAATGAATGACGTCATCGCATGGGACAGTCAGCCGGCTTAGCACTACTTCCAGATGAGTTTCTGCATCTACAGAATGTTTTAGCGTTTGTGCATATTAAGTTTAAAAAATGGAAGCAAATTTCGTAAAAGCAGATTCTTGTCATTTGCCAGAAGTAGGTTTGTAAATGGTTATGGATTTTTTTAATAAAAACCACGACTTTATCAGTGCTGAGATGAAAGGAGTGAAAATGCAAAGGTTACGTTTCAATAACGTGTAAAGCTTCTTTAAAATACGTTTGTAGTGAAATTTTTGAGAGAATGGACATTATTATTTTCTTAGGCGTCTTCACACTAGTGCTCTCACACTGGGGAACATACAACATTTGTAATTTTTTTCTGTTCTGTCTTCCATATTGCTAACAAAATTCGGCATCTTAACATACTCGACCGAAACTTAACGGCCAACTAAAACTCGACTGACTGACAATACACACAAGCATGCGGCATCGGTTTCCCATGCGGTGACGTCACATCTACCGGTTCAGCGGATACTCAGCGTGCCAGTTTATGATTTTTTTTTTGGATGACTTATAGGCGATATAGAATTCAAATTTTTTGCAGAGAACCTTAAAATTGCAATATCTTTCCGTTAAGCAAATAAAAAAAATTTGCTTAATGAGCCCGTAAATTATATTTCACGTTCTTTCAGTATGTGGCACCTTTTATCCAGTTATTTATTTAATTTTGTTACTCCGTATCGTCTTTTGAAGAGCCGTAAACAATTCTCGGCGATATTTTATTGGTTTATCGAGAGATACGTACCGATCCAGCTCTAACCTTCCCCAGTGACTAATAATACCCGTGTTCAGAGGCTATTTAATTAAAAATCTTTTTGTTAGCGTTCTAATTCAAAAATAACGAATTGCCTCTGAAAATAAACAAGCATTTTTTATTTATCTTGGACGGCGGCCAAGGGAGTGCGCCAAATCGGTTGACATCCGTCTTGCCTATAAATTGATTCCGCTCGGAGAATAATAACCCGGTAATTTGCAATTGATCGTTGTAGGTAGTCGAATTTATATCAATATTAACAATTTTTTAACGGCCTTGGTTAACGTCTACGTGAATAATTGCGAACGAAGGAGACAACGAAACAAAGCGGTGGAAAATAATGTGATGATAAGATAATGCAGCGGACCTTCCTCGGAACCTGGTTGCCACGTCGTCGGTTTGGACTGATTGACGTTTCGAAGCATCGCTCTCTTCTCCTGAAACGTCAAAAAATCTGAACCCCAATTGTAAATCAAGCTATCATAGGAGGAGTTACAGTAACATCATATCCCGATCGAATAAAAATCCGCCTGTCGTTGTTGCCAGATTGTTAAAATTACGTTAATAGAGGGAATTATTTAGATTTAGTACAGTCATTGAAGCTTTTCCCCTCCGAATTCTTTGAAACTGAACCGATCGACTTGAAATTTGGCAAATAGTTAGAGAAAAGGTCAATGAACATTAGTGACATAGCGCCGATCGACACTTCCACCCTGTTGGGGGTTGACACCCCTTCTCGGGGGTGGAAATTTTTTTTCAAAAATTACGCTGGAAATCGATAGAGAATCAAAATTTGAGCAAATATTCGAAGAATTTTTTCGAGAAATCAATAGTTTTTTAGTTATTCACGATTGAAAACTTTGAGGGGAAAAAACACTTTTTCAAAGTATTTTTCGCGAATAACTCAAAAACTACGCATTTTATTAAAAAAAAGTATAGTGAACAAAAATGTAGCTTATAAATAAACAAAGAAAATCGTTTTTTAAAAAGTGTCGTACGTCCTATACAAAGCGAAATATGGTTAGTGGAAGGGGACTTGTTTTGGGGGGAATACTCGAATCGATGTATTAACGTCAAATAACGGAAAAATGATACATTTTACGTGTATAACGCTCCTGGAGTTTTTTGTAGTACTCAAAAAGACCTTCAAAATGAGCACTTATACAACTTAATTAGAGCAAAATTGAAGGAGTTATCGACAAAAACGATGGGTTGCTCATATTTTTTAAGGAAAAATGAGCAGTAAACGCTGTACCATTTCCATCAGAATTAAAATTAATTGTAGACCCGTTACAATTAGTTTTGTTTTAGTGTTTTTCATACGATCCTGAAGTTAGACCGGTTTAGAATGCGTATTTTTTGAATAATGTACGGTAAAAGTTGAAAACGTATTTTCCATTATTAAAAAAAATGCCTTATTTATATAATAACTTTGAAACTATGAAAGATACGTAAAAAATGATAGACAACAAAAATGTAGCTTTTTTGCAACAAATATTTTGCTTTTTTTATTCCTATAGCATAAAAAAAATAAAGGAGATATCCCGCTTGAAGTTTCCATTTTAGTGAAAAAACGACCTGTCTCGAGCTCTTCGATCCTTTCCCTTTAAAAAACGAAGGACTTAAAAGGTTTTATATGCAAACGATTTTCCAGCTCTTGAAATTATCTTTAAAATGCTTTTTTGTAGGATACCATAGCTTCAAAATTAACCGAGTTATAGTAAAAAAAAAAAATGATATTTTTTTGGAGCAAAATAGGCTTTCTCATTTTTATATATTATTATTTTATATATTATACAAATAAAATAAGTAAAAAAAAATAGTGTGATTATTTATATGCAGCGTAGCAATTTTTTTATGATTGATCATATTTAAAAATCGATTATAATAAAAATATTTTACATTAATACATATTGGTAAAAGGGTAGTTTAGAAGAGTTGAAAATGGCAAAACTAAAATATTCTTTCATAAACAATATAAAGGAATTTTTATTTTAAATTATTGCACAATTATAGCATTCCAAGATTTAAAACGTAATTTTTTATCATTTTTTTAGCACAGGGGTGATTTATAAGGGTTGAAAAGTGTTATGAGATACGAATTCTTTCATAAGCAATGAGGGAATTTTTATTTTAAATAATTACACCGTTAAAGCATTCCAAGCTTTTAAAAAATAATTTTTTATCATTTTTGTCAATACAGGGGTGGTTTTTAGGGGTTGACAGGGAAAAATTCTTTTATTAGCTATAAGGTAACTTTTATTTCAAATAATTGCACGATTTAATAATTCCAAATTTTTAAAAAATAATTTTTTATCATTATTTTTTGCATAGGGGTAGTTAAGGGTTAAATAAAGGGTCGAAAAGATCGAATATATCATAAAACATGTTCGAGAAAATGGAACATTATTTAATCTTTGTGCTTGAACAAGATTATTATCAATAAAATGCTTAAAATTTAATTTTTTCAATTTTTTTTCACTTAGGGGTAGTTTTTACCCCTGCAAATCCATGCAGTTTCAAAGAATTCGGAGGTTACAGCTGATTTTCAGTTTCAATTACTGTACTAATTATAAAATCACAGAATAATACAGTGAATTAATGGATATACACTAGTCACAAAAATTAAAGGATAAAAAGTCGTAAATTTTTAGGTTATCTTCAAAGTGTTGTCTGTTATTCAGCGAAAAATGGTGGAAGAGGAATAGAAAATAGCAAATTGAAGCTTTAAGTTTCTAGTTACAGAATCTGAAAAAAAAGAGTGACCGCAAAAAACCTGCGATTTTCGCCCGTTTTTTTCACAATTCGCAGAGAATTAAAAAAAATACATATAAAATATGTTTTTGGTCGCAAATTATTTGTCGTAAAAAATTGAAATGAGCATTGTTTTTAGTATTTTAAAAATTTTTAAAATCACCCCTACTTAGGGGTTGAAAAAATACCAAAAATGAAGAATTTGAATATTACCAATTGATATAAAAACTATATTAGCATGTGAATTATCTTAATATATTTTTTTTGGAATTTTTACAATTCTGATATTCTCTATTTTGGGGGATGATTCCTCCCTCTGAGCGCGCTTAAGGGTGGATTTTCTAATTGAACATGCTTATTTCAGTGATGAGAATAAATATTTTTTTGTATCAAGAATCATTCGATAGAAAAATTCACATGCTAATAGTTTTTATATTTATTGGTAATATTCAATTCTTCATTTTGGGCGTCTTTTCAACCCCTAAATAGGGGTGATTTTTGAAAATTTTCAAAAAACTAAAAGCTATGCTATTCTTAATTTTTTACGACGAGTACCTAATTTGAGACCAAAAACATATTTTTATCTATTTTCTTTAGTTCTCTGCGAATTGTGAAAAAAACGGGCGATTTTTGCGGTCACTCTTTGTATCGTTGACCGCCTTTGAGAAATCATAAGAAATCCAAAAGAAAAACAAACTTGCTTCTCTCTAAAAAGGCCCATGAGCTTCAATAATTTTTTTGCTAATGGATATTATAATTTTTTAAATTCGTCCTTTACATTTTGAGCAACGCATCCACATCAACGAATGGCAAGTTTGCCAAGTCATATGTAAAGAAAATTATTTAGAATAAGACCTCATTCTTTTAGTTTAGGATACAAAAAATGCATCTTCATTTCGTCGCAAGGTCGCCTCCAATCTTGTAAAGGTTCTATGATCAGGAATGAGGCGCTCTGGATACCTTTCTCGATATAACTCTACAGCTCTTCTTGAATTTTTTTGTGACTCGCCGTAAATTTGCAACATGTCAACTTTTTCTGAATAAGAAAACATTTTGTAAGCGCAAAATTTATACGTTTGACGTTCGTATTTTGTAATGACAAGTATTTTGTGACATTTATGCACTTTAAACAACGAACATTCAATTATTTTCCAACGACTACTTGATCCTTCCACCGGTAATGTGATTGTTTGGTGGTATTTCTTTTGAGACTCTTTAGGGCCATATTGCTTATAATTTTTTAAAAGGGAAGTGATACAGAAAAATTTCTCCGATAAAAGTTTATTAGAAAAGAGAACTTTTCAATAAGAAACAAATTCGGGTATGTTCTGGAAAAAATATAATTATTGATGACGTCATTAGTCGTTTCTGTCAAATGTCAAAGATAGGCCCATACTATCGAGTTTGAGACACCCTCTACAAACACAATTTAAATAAAATAAAACCGCTGATTAAAATATATTATGTACAGGGTTAAGGTTCACCGTATAAACCTTTTTCTTGACATTTTCTATATCTCGCAAATGAGAATAAACGTCAAACTTTGACACCTGTAAGTTCGCTCACTTTGTACGTGTCGCATTGGGATTGTAGTTTGTCGTATTCAGTTCCTATTGCAGTTTGCAATCGCGCCATTCTACTAAATTATGTATCTTAAACGATTGTATTATTTTTTCGATCTGTTTAAGGAGAAAGTATCGGCATAACCCGCGATAAGTAAATGTGTTACGCAATTCGACCGCTGTCGAGCAATTTACGGCGCAACCTAAATAAATGTAATTATTATTTTGTACAGTGCGAGAAGTCTCTCTCGAGGCGCGTTCGGCCCTGTCGAATATATTTTACGCAATTTTTATGTACGGCAATTGAGTAAACAGGACACAATCTGTACAAACAGGCTGTAAAAGGATTTATCGCCGGTTCGTTTCCGTAATTAGGAAAAAGATCGTAAAAAGTCTAAACAATTTTTTAAGTCGTGTCATCGTGATTTGAAGGATTCGTTGCTCTATCTGAGGGTTACAGGGTGGGCGAATGAAAGAAAAATGTTTTTGTATATATGCGAAACCAATAAACCAACGACACACCAGAGCAAGGAAAAAATGTCCGTTTTCTAAGCGCGTTTCGCGAATCGAGGAAACGGGGCTCTATCATGACTAGGTACTTCCGCCTGAACCGGAAGTAAGGTAAAAGCAATACGGCGATGTTCTAGTGAGCTAAGCGGCTTAGGTTATGGTTTATTTTTATATTTTTATGCGGACAAATCGATGTTGTTTCTCGTTTTATAGTTCGAAGTAATTTTTTTCGTGTTCATCCCCGGTAAAGTCTGTAAAACCGTTCTTGTTACTAAAAAATACTCGACTTAATCGTCGATTATGTCAGGGGATACGTACAGTTGCGTTTTTCCTCGCGTTTTCCAGAGCTATTAGATAAGGAATTATTGCCCCCATATATTTTCCTAAACAGCAATCTGATATTCGCAACGTTTTCAATTCGACATTTATTTATGAATCTCGTTGGTAGTAAAGAAATTGTAATTTATTCTCGGGAAGAACATAAAGGACTCTTGCTCATAAAAAGAACCCAGTTTACATATTTTTATTTAGATTAACAGCCATATTCTTAAAAAAAAACATCTTACAAGATTGCGGGATAGCAATTTTCAAATCACTCATTATTATTAGTTAATTTTTAAACTACATTTTTAAGCGTTACTTATAAATTAGATTGTATTCAAATATGTGTGTAAATGTCGGGAAGACTTTCTTAAAACTATATCTTGTTCTGAAACTCCAATAACTACATAACCTGTTTGGTATATCTTCTGTTATTCTTTTCTACAAGTCCTTTGAATGCCTGTTATTAAAATAACATGAAAAAACATCGTAATTAGAAAAGCGAATATGCCCCCATATAAGAATAATGTGAGTTATCTTCAAAAATGTTCATCAGATGCTTTAAATGTTTGCCTTTCTACTTTCGTCAAAATCATGTACTTCTTTAGACGATATCCAACCCATTAACTTTCCAAGTAAGCGCATCAGATGATTTGATGTTATGTTCTTGTTGTTATGTATGTGCTTTACATTTTTAAAATGACAATAATCAGCTAATGACACATTTTCAGATGTTTTCTTAATTTTCTATTCAGTACACCATTTTTTGCAGTTACTGTAAGATGTTTCTTAAAAAATATTGTTTGATACTTCCAGTGAGATCAGTATGTAACTTTTATGCGAATGAAATTGCCAAAATGCCTCTTTTAAGTCGATTTTTCAAGTTACAGAAGGATTTGTACATTTCTTGTTTAAAAATTTACAAAAATTCCAAAACCATTTTTCTGAGCGGGTGGGCTATTTTGGTGATGTAAATCGTGTATCTACAAATTTTTCTCTAACCTACTGCCAATCATTTTCTTCATAGAATTTAGTGGTTAAATTTGATCTATCACATCACAAAAAAAATTTAATGGATAATAATTAAAATAGTTACAGTTAATTCAACAAAACGTTAAGCAAAAATAGTATAAGAATTACAAAATAGACACTAACAAGAAAAAACTTTACACAATAAATTAAAATTGAAGTTTAGATTAGTTATTTCAAATTTTCTGGTCACTTTCTCTTTTAATAGCTTTGAGATGTAGTTCCGAAATTGCGTTTGCATTCTCATATGATTTTTTTTTAATCATTTGAAAGCAAAAGCGACACCTTACGATCTAGAATAACGATCAACTTTTATGTCAGCAGCAGGCGCCGCCGCCAAGAGCCAACATGCACGGGCCCCCGCTCAGTGTGTCACCCCTCAGCAGCAGGACAAGCCTGTCGGTACCCCAGCCGCCCCAGAGGTCTTCCATAGGCAGACCGCCCTCCGTCTTTCCTCCGGGGGTCAAAGACTTGTCGCCTTCGGTCACTATAACACCCGCCCCGCCTCAACCAGTCAAGGTAATAATAATCTAGTTTATTTGTTTCAGAAAAAATGTCGTTTCCTCCCTAACATTTGTATTACATTTCAAATTAGGGAACTATTAAACCGAAAGGAGCTTTTCATTTAAGTGATCTAGCCGTTTGAGATCACTTAGGGTTAGGTAGAATGGAAAGGGTCTATTATGTTTAACCTCAAAATTTGTGTAGTTATTTTGTAAATTCAAATTGTTTTTTTTGTTGCTTAACATGAAAAAATAGTGTTCTATTTCTTTGCTAATCACTTGTGTACAATTTTTTTACCGCGGCCAGACTGTTAGTGGATTAGATAACAAAGGACTAATGGTTGGCGGATCTATTCAAACTAACATTATCCAAGAGGTAATTTTATGTTTTTTCAAAAGTACTAACAAAAACACACTTGTAGACATTTTACTTTTGAAAATTTAATTTCTAATTAAAATCGTGTGTTTTAGGACCGGCCTAGAGAAGACAACCAAACGCCTGCCCAAAGACAGGCCGCTGCCAAATTGGCTCTGCGGAAACAGCTGGAAAAGACGCTCTTGCAGGTACTTTGATAAATTCATCGTAATTCCTATGTATCGTTTACCTCCATTTGTAGATCCCGCCACCAAAGCCGCCCCCGCCCGAGATGCATTTCATCCCGAATCCCAGCAACACGGAGTTCATCTACCTGGTGGGACTGGAGCACGTCGTGGATTTCCTCACCAAAGAAACTAGGACCCCTTTACCGCCCATGCCGTTCGCCTGCAGCCAGTGTCAGTCCGACTTCACGCCCGTCTGGAAGTGGGAGTCCAGCAAGAAGAACAAGGGTCAGTCGGTATTACGAGCTTTGTTCGATTTTTACTGACGGTGTTCTTTCAGGGGCTAAATCGGTGATCTGCGAACAGTGCGTGACGAACAACGTGAAGAAAGCCCTGAAGGCCGAACACACGAACAGGTTGAAAACGGCCTTTGTTAAGGCCCTGCAGCAGGAGCAGGAGATCGAGCAGAGGCTCGCGCAGGTAAGGTTTGCCGTGGTTCTACTCTTAACTCGTTTCGTTCATTTCAGGTGGGAGTGAAATTGTGGATAAATATTTTTTTTCAGAATCACATTGTAAATACCATTGAGAAACATATACGAGTCGATAGTATATGTATTCACTATACAACGGCATTTGACGGGTTAATCGTAATTTATGATAACCAAACTTGGTTTCTGTAGAAGTGAATAGTAATTTCTTAGGCTGGATTTATATCAAATAGGGTGCAATATGTTTAAATTAATAACTTTGTGTCTAATGCAGAAAGTTTTCCGTCTGGGGTTCCACAGGGTTCTCACTTTGGACCGGTTTGATTTTACTTGTTCATTAATGACATCGATCATGTTTTGAAATATTCTAAAAATTTTGTTTGCTGATTTTGTTTTTAATTAGTCTGTGTATATAATAGGGTGTTTCATTTGAAAAAAAAAACATTTTTTTTCGCTTCATTGACGAAATATTATTCTAAACATTGGAAAAAAATGTCTCACCGAGTTTCTGCTCTTAATTTTAATTTTAAGTACTCGCTATTTGATTTTAAAATTTTCCCATTCATTTAACACGTAAACCTATGTTTTTTTTTTAATTATCTATGTCTCAGTTGCATTTCACGTTATTTTATTATCCTTAGGCGATAATTCTAGGGGAATCTTTGTTCTTTGAAAGTGCCCATGGTAGGATCTATGTGACTTCAACAATTTCATTGCTAAAAAATCTTAATTTCTATCGATTTTTGCATTTTTCTTATAAATGATTAGACTTACAGCAAAAACGTAAATGACATTTTTATAAAAATATCATGTACCTACGTTTTTGCTGTAAGTCTAATTATTTATGAGAAAAATGAAAAAATCGATAAAAATTTATTTTAGGAGGGCTCTATAGCAAATAGCCAACCAGCAATACATTTTTATAGATTTTATTCTATAGTTTGTCTAAATATGAATCAATGCACAGACTTTCCCCCCATTTTAACGCAGATTTTCTATAGAATGGACTTAGTTTGAAACTCAAATTACTTTTTGTTGTACAGAAATTTGTAATTTGCCGCTTTTGAACAAGCGGCATTGTAAATTACAAATTTCTTTATACCAAAAAGTTATTTGAGTTTCAAACTAAGTGCATTCTATAGAAAATCTGCGTTAAAATGGGGGAAAGTCTGTTATTTGTGCATTAATTCATATTTAGACAAACTGTGTAAAAAAATCTATAAAAATGTACTGCTGGTTGCCTATTTGCTATAGAGCCCTCTTAAGATTTTTTAGTACAGTTCAGGTTTCAAAGAACAAAGGTTCCCCTATAACTATCGCCTATGGGCAATAAAATAAAGTGAATTGCAGCTATGCAATGCTTGCATAGATAATTAAAAAATTGTAGGTTTACGTGTAAAATGAATGGGAAATTTTTAAAATCAAACAGCGGGTACTCAAAATTAAAAGTAAGAGATGAAATTTGGTGAGAATTTCTTTTCCAATGTTTAGAATAATTTTTTGTCAATGGAGTGAAAAAAATATATTTTTTTTTCAAACGAAGCACTAATACAATATTTCTTCTCTGATATTATTTGTGGTATGTATGTATAATATGGATAATCTTTGAGTAGTTTTTTCAAAGTCAGTTAAACATGTATAAAAACGCCTAGCAATAAAATTTTATGAGTTTCATAGGTGTCCCTAAAAAGTTTTCTGCTAAAGGTAAAAAATAATTTATAAATTGTCCGTCAAATTACGTCTAGTCATGTCATCGATATTTTTAAATTTTTGTTTTCGTTTCCTTTTCATGCAATGATCTATAACACTGTTTAATAACACGAAAAATTGTGGACAATGAAACTTTACATAATATGTGAATTCTGTTTATAATTTCATCAGATTTTTCATTTTTTCCTTTTTTTAAACAATCATAAATATTTAAAATGAGACGCTGACATTGAACATGTAAATCTTTATTTATAAATTCTAAATCTGTTTCATCAACAACCGGCTCTACAAAATATCCCTCTTATTTCTCCTTTTCGCAATTGTAATATGAATGATTAATAGAAGGTGCCTATAATAAATTAAAATTCCCTGAATTAACCAAATTCCGCATTGTGCACTGCACTGCTAGGCAATTTGTCAACAACTGAAATTTATGTCCCGTTGCCCAGTGCGGCTGTGTTTGTGTGCCGTTTGCTCGCGCGCATTCTTTAACTGAGCGACCAGGCCTGTATATGGGTATGGCTAAATAAATATGGGAACAAGTTTTTCAAGTATTTCAATGCCAAGTTGTTGTGTAGCGACCGAACCTGATACATACTGGGTAGCTCTTTGGTCTTCAATTGAGATCGGAAAGACTATACTGTTGGTATTGTAATGCTATTGCCTGATATATAATTTTGGCTGTTGTATTATGCGTATCTGTATACTCGACACTTGCTAATAATTCCATACCAATATTATATGACCATTCGTTTCGGGAAATAAATGGCATTTCCTGCATCATTTATGATTGTGTCGTCCTTTTAACATGTATTTATAGGCATTTGTGACATGACCTGATCCTGAATTGAGAGAATAAAGGGTCAGGGTACAAATGCCCTTTTTGTAGCAATTTGTATGTTTTTCCGTTCCGTTTTCATGTTCTTTCGTTTGAGCTTCTCCTTCGTTGTTTTTATTCCTTCCTCGATTCGTTCATATGTCGATTTTCCTTTTTCTATATGTAATATTTTACATTTACTTATCCGGAACTCCACGCTCCAATATCTTTCGATATTTTTTCCATCGTTTTTAACAGTCCGTGCAATTGTTTCGTTCAAATATTAAATCGATATAATATCGCTCGTTTTCATTCCAGAACGGAGTGTTCACCTCCAGCAGTCCGGCTCCGTCTCCGGTTACCCCGGAAGTGCTACCCAAGTCTGTCACCCCCACACCCACACCGAGACACGCAGCCACACCGCCGGCGCCGCCCCCGGCACAACCCACACCGCCTCCCCCCAGGAGTTCGCACGCACCCGGCCACTCCGCCTCGTCCGTGCAGGATAAGTACAACCAGCAGCAGAGCGCGGCGGCGATGCAGGCCTTACACCAGCAGCTGTTACGAAGTAAGTCAAATAAATATTTGATTTATAAACGTTTGGGGATTTTAAACGATTAATTTTCACATAAATTTTATATTATTTCTAATTGCATTGTTAATTGCTATTCAGCATCTTGAATTCTAACCTAAATGAGAAAAAAACATGATTTTTCAGTATATTTAAGGTTATGTTACATGTTACGAGGTAATTTTTCTCCTAACCTAACCTAAAAGTGCGAAGAAACATGGTTTTTCGTTTTATTTGAAGTTATGTTACGACACGAGGTAATTTTCCCCATAAAGCTGTAAAAAATAATAATAATATTTATCTCCCATTCTTGTCAAATCGACTGGAAACAATCCCGAAGCTGAATAAGTGGTGTGTGAAAGGGGGCGGCTTATTATTATTAGTATTATTATACTTGTGGGAGTATGATTGAACCGGGGTAATAAACAAAAACTTTATTCGCAGGTCTCTCAGCGGGCGGGCCCCCGGCGGGCCACATGCTGCAGTTTTCGCCGCTCCTCTACCCCTGGCAGCTGGCCATGGCGCAGGCGGCAGCCAGCGGAAAGGGGAGCTCCGCCAACCTGGCGGAACTGCAGCGGGCGGCCGATCTCCAACGACAGTACCTGCTAGACATGATCCCGCCCGGCCCCCAGCAGCGCCACAACTGGAAGACATGATGCGTCGGCGAGTACGGTGATAAAACTTGACAGTTCTAGATAAAATGGTGATCCGTGACTTTTTTCCCGGCCGCACCCAGGCCGGTGTGTGTGACTGTTTAATTTAAAATTATCCCCTTCGTAAGTGGATTTAAATGTATTTTATCATGTGCCCGATTTAGTTGTTCCAGAAGTGCGAGGCGGGTCGAGGATGGTTTTTTTTCTTATTGGACCTTATTTTGGAAAAAAAAATATTTTTCTGGTGATTGTGAATCACGGTTTTTTAAAAATTGCGGTATTTAGTTGAGAAAAGTTTATTTCGAACGGGTCGGAAATAAATCGAATGCCAAAAAGTTGATTATTTTTTTTTTTAGCTACTGACAGCTGGTACTGTTGAATGTGAAGTAGCAGAAAATTGAAGATGTCGTACAAAAATATTTTCTTAATTTCATGTACAGGATGTTAATTGAGCGTGTCGACAAACTTTAAGGGACGATTCGTAGAATGACTTTAAACCAAATAGGGTTTATAAAGGGGGGATCACAAGTCGAGAATTTTCGATATACAAGGTGTTGAAATTAGAAAAAAAATCACCTTTTGTAACTGAAGATGTTTGATATTGAATAACAAAACTTGGGTTAATAATTTAACTATTTGAAGGTGAAAATCGACTTAATTCGTATATAAATATGTACCAGTGGTGGAAGTATGGGAATTACTTCCACTAAAAACCCCAGAAATTTAACTCGCTGAATATTGTGAAAATTTTGTCACTAAATCCTTATGATCTTACCAAGACAAAAAGATATCTTTCGTTTTATTCAAAGAATACTCTTTTACTTTTATTAACATCCTTGAAATTTTGAGTTTGAAATATGAAAATTTTAATTCATACTTAAAATTTGAAACTTCGAAATTTAGAGTTCGTATTTGAAATTTCGAGCTTAAACTTGAAATATTAAGTTTGAAATATGAAATTTTGTGCTTTAGTCTAGAAATTTCGAGTTCAAATTAAAAATTTCATATTTGAGCTCGAAATTTTGAGTTTGTACCTACTTATTTTGAGTTTGAAATATTCAGTCTCGAGTTTAAACTTAAAATTTTCAGTTTGAAACACAAAATACTGAGTATGAACTTCAAATTTCAGTTTTGAAAAGTCTAGAAACTTCAGGTTCATACTAGAAAATTTGAGTTTGATATTCAAAATTTCGAGTTTAATCTTGAAATTTCAAATTTAATCAAATTAACAATTTCCCGTAGAACTTTGAAATTTTGAGTTGAAATTAAAAATTTCATATTTGAGCTCGAAATTTTGAGTTTGCACTTGGAGTTTGAAATATTCAGTCTCGAGTTTAAACTTGAAATTTTAAGTTTAAAACACAAAATACCGAGTTGCAACTTCAATTTCAGTTTTGCAAGTTCTATTAGAAACTTCAAGTTCACATTTAATTTAATCTTTTAGAGTTAAAATTAAAAAATTCATATTGAACTCGAAAATTTGAGTTTGTACTTAAAACTTTGAGTTTGAAATATTCAGTCTAGAGTTTAAATTTGAAATTTGAAGTTTGAAACACAAAATACCGTGTTTCAACTTGAAATTTTAGTTTTGAATGTTCTACTAGAAATTTCAAGTTCATACTCGAAATTTTGAGTTTGATATTCAAAATTTCAAGTTGTAAGCTTGAAATCTGAAATTTAATTAAATTAACAATAATTTTCTGTTGAAATTCAAAATATCAAGTTCAAGTACAAGCTTTTGAGTTCAAACCTTGTATTAATTTAAAGTTTTCGATAAACGGGCTGTGAAATTAAAAAAAAAGATGTCTGATTTTTAAAAATATCTGTGAAGATGTTTGATTTTAGAAAAGCTGAATTTAATTTCAACACCCTGTATATTTAAAACTATGGATTTCCGGACCCACACTTTTAAATCTTTTTGGCTTCAATCCGCTCAAAAAATCGTCTCTTAAAGTTTATTAACGTGCCCTATGAACACCCTGTACGGAAACATTCTTTGACAGTCTTGTGAAATCGTAATTATTTAGTTCATCGTGTACCTTAGTAGGTTTATTTAATATTTAATTTAAAAAAAAATTACGTATTCCCGCTCATGAAACTTGCGACATTTATTGCGAGAGTTATCTCATAGTTTCGAGCGTAAGAAAACGACCGGTGATAAGTTTTTTAACCCGTACGTGGTACCCAGTAGAGATATAAAACTTGTCGTTACTAAATTCGAAAAACCGTATCCGGGAAAAGGCGGCAACAATTTTTTTTCTCTCGAAATATTATTTCTAGTCTCCACAATTACCTTTTCGATAATAAAAATCATTTCGATGGATGGAAATGAGTAAAAAATTTTTTCGTGAATCGTTGCGCAAGAAGTGTCGCAAGTCCTCACGGGCACGACCAACATCCAACTTCTGGAATAAATATATTTATTTAAAAAAAAAAAATGTCGGCGCGACGTTGACCGTTGACGAGGCGTCGCGCCGTGCTTTGGCTGACATGTTAGTTTTAGGTGTTAAGGTTGTCCTTTATTAGCGACACAGTAAGTTGCGCGTGAGCGTGGGCAGCGTGTTAGTTAAGGAGTACTGAAGAGGTGTGATTTGTACATTAGTTAACGATTTGATACTGCGGTCTTCTGGGAGGGGAGGGGGGGGGGGGGGGGGCGCGCGTCTTACGTTATAGTTGAATTTTATGGCATTTATTTTCGAAGCGATGCGGTATCGAATCTAAGGCTTACGTTATAGTGAAATATTTGTAAATAGATGTTTTTACAAACTGTACATTAGTAATAATTATTTTTTAGGAATATTGGTGCGTAATATGCTCATGAGAAAAAAATCGATGTTGATAAGGTGTTCCATATTCATTTCTCTTTCGTTTCATTTGTTCCCGGAGGTTCAGGTGTTGATTCGGTTCCGCGAATATCCCAATCGTCATTCAGCGTTTGCGATTGTAATCATGGAACGTTTATTTTTGAATGCATTTTCAAATTTGTTTTCTCGGAATTTTTGATTCTTTATGACGTTTATTACCGTTTATTTCCGTTTATTTCGAATTTATTGTAAAATTTCAGAGCATTATTTCTCTTTTTCTCCATTTCATATAACTTCATCTCCTCTAACGCGAATTCTAAATGAAAATGCACTCGGATAAAATAAAGTCTGAGTATTTTACTTTAATTCAAAGCTGAACTTTCCTCAAGACAGGCGGTGGTAATAATTTGTGAAAAATTGTCACCTAAAAATTTGATAGCAGCAGGACGAGGCCATACATTTATTATTTTCCCTTGATGTATAAAATTTTGGGTTTATACTTGAAATTGTTAATTTGAAATATGAAATCTCAAGTTTAAAGTTTAAATTTTGAGTTTAAATCACAAAATTTCGGGTTCAAACCTACCTTGACACCTCATATTTATATTCAAACTAGAACATTTTAAATTAATGTGCAAATTTGTGTTTCGAATTGGAAACTTGATACTTCAAGATCAAAAATTTGAGTTCATACTTGAACTTTTGTTTGAAAGGTTTAATCAGGAGTTTTAACTTACAATTTTAAGTTCGAGCTTGAAATTTTGAATTTGAAAACATGAAATTCTGTAATTTGCGGTTATTTTAATTAAAAATATTTAGTTTGAACTCGAAATTTGGTGTTTGAAACACGAAATTTCAAAATTAAATTTGAAATTTTGAGTTTCAAACTCGAAATTTTGAATTCAAGTTTGAAATTTTCGTTTCAGACTAAAAATTTTGAGTTTGAATTCAGACTTGAAATTTCAAGTTCAAGGTCAAAATTTTGAGTTCTTGAACTTTTGGGTTTGAAATGTTTAATTAGGAATTTGAACTTAAAATTAAGATTGAGCTTGAAATTTTGAATTTGAAACCATGAAATTCAAGTTCGAACTTATATTTACGTTTGTGAAATTGAGTTTTAATTAAAAATTTTTAGTTTGAACTCGAAATTTGGTGTTGAAACACGAAATTTCAAAATTAAATTTAAAATTTCGAGTTTCAAACTCGAAATTTTAAATTCAAGTTTAAATAACGAAATTTCGAGTTGAAACCTTGACACCCCATATTTAAATTCAGACTATAAATTTTAAGTTTATGTGAAATTTGACCTTGAAATGAATTTGAAAACATGAAATTTGAATTCAAACTTAAATTCTGTGCTTTGCGATCGAGGTTTTTAGTTTGAACTTGAAATTTGGTCGAAATCTAAACTTTCAAACTAAACTGGAAATTTTTAGTTTGAATCATGAAATTTCGAGTTGAAACCAAGGGGCACCTGATTTAAATTCAGACTAGAAATTGTAAGTTTATGTGAAATTTTGTGTTTCAAACTGGAAACTTGAATTTTCAAGTTGAAACTAAAAATGTCAAGTTCAAACTCGAATTTCAAATTCAAGTTAAAAAATTTGAGTTCTTGCTTGAACTTTTGAGTTTGAAATGTTTAATCAGGAGTTTGAACTTAAAATTTTAGTTCGAGTTTGAAATTTTGAATTTGTAAACATGAAATTCTGTGCTTTGCGATTGAGATTTAATTAAAAAAATTTTGTTTGAACTCGAAATTTGTTGTTCAAAACATAAAATTTCAAACTTAAACTTGAAATTTTCGTTTTAAACTAAAAATTTTGAGTTTGAATCACGAAATTTCGAGTTGAAACCGTGGCACCTCATATTTAAATTCAGACTAGAAATTTTAAGTTGTGAAATTTTGTGTTTCGAACTAGAAACTCAAGTTGAAACTAAAAATGTCAAGTTCAAACTCGAAATTTCAAGTTCAAGGTAAAAAATCGAGTTTTAATAAAAAAAAATTATTTTGAACTCGAAATTTTATGTTTTAAATTCGAAATTTTAAATTCAAGTGTGAGATTTTCATTTTAAACTAAAAACTTCCTATTGAAACTTGAGATTTCATATTTGGACTCAAAATTTCTAAGTTCTAACGAAAGAATCAAAATATATGTGAGCTTCCAATGCTTTTGTATTTTTTCACTGTTAGAGTACTTTTAGTTTGCTCACAAAAAACTTATAAATTGAGGTATCTGTGATACTTTATTACGTCATAGGCGATGCTCTGTCTATATTTGGAGTATGTCCGACTCGGCTGAATTAAATTATTTTGCATTTATAATTAAAGAAAAACCTGTCAAATGGCTCTTATGTTGCGTGAACTAATCGTGAACTTGGAAAATCCATTTTTTTGACGATGAACACGACCCGACCTGTCGTAATTTATTTTTATTTATGTACAATCTCAAGCTTAGGAAAATGTGAAAACAAACCGAAGTTGTCGTCAGCTGTATTTACCGTGTTAAATAATGGGTGCTATTATACAATTTCTATTGTTTTTCTATAACAATATGCACGTTTTTGTCACAATGTATGAAGCTCAATATACAAATAAATGATGTAAATGATTCCTTCATTGAATTTTTGTAATAATTATCTCCGTAATTAAATAAACATTTTCTGAAAGCACAATTTTCATTGTAGATATAAAGACTATATAAGCATTATAAATTTCTGCATTCTGTAAATTATCCCATTCTAATAAAAGGTACTTTTACTCCTACTTGTATTATTGTATTTATTTCAGGTACGTCTCCAAAGGTCGGTAGTATTTTTCTTCATGTTAAATAAAACGTACTTAAGTCTGAACCCTGTTCACACCAAAAGTTTTACACACTCGTAAAATTTGTAAGCTATTATAAATGTAGAATGTTGGTTAAAGCTTTAAAAAAAAGTCTCATTTGTAAATTGCAACACTGAAATTTAAACTGACGGCTAACCATAGTAGTATTTCATTTACCCGAGAGTCAAGATACTCGGAGCAGTTCAGTTAATATTTGAAACGTCAAATAAATAAAACGCGACTTTTATACATAGTCAATTTCTATTTACCTGAGATCTCGGTTAATCTCACCTAACGGACCAATCAGCATTCAGAACAGTCGAGATTTTAAGTAAATAAAACATCATCATCACATTTTCACGTTTTTATATTGGCGACATTTTGAAAAGCAGTTTACTCGACAAAAACGTCAATAGTTGCTAATTGCCTGAGCCTGGATCCACATGTACGCATGATGACGGATCCGTTACAACCACGTGACCATCGACAGCCAATCCGTTTTAACTTTGACGGAGTGTCAAATGGCTTTACTGATGGACAATTGAATGTTGGTGGTCACGTGGTTACAACGAATCCGTGGTCACGTAAGCATGTGGATCCAGTCTTAACCTTAGTGTTTTTATTTACCGTCTATTGTCAAACCTGGATCAATTCTGTTTCAGTCAGGGATGTTCCTACCAGTACAATTGTACTGAATCAGTATCAGTACAATCCCTAGATAAATGATGTACAATCGTCTGAAAAACAGTACGTCAGTACTACATCGTCAGTTTTTGCCATATTTCAGTACATTTGTATATTTCAGGTGAGATAAACACAGAGACAAAGAGATAAAAGAAATATTCTCTAAGTTTGTAGTCTTAGAGCAGAGAATAGGGGCGCGAGTTTGTGGTATCTACTCTCTATGGCATGGTTTTGTCACAGCATAGATGAATATTTATTTTGCTGTGGTTTTGTGTATTTTGACTTGACGTGTTTTGTTCTGTGACTTTGTTTTGTGTTGAACAGTTCATTTGCGGTTTTCTGCTTATCCATCATAGAGAAATAAACAATTTGTATTCTATCTGCGTTATGCTGTTAAATAATCATTTTATTCGTTTTTATAAAATCATACTGATCAAATATTAAAACGTGTGCTACTATTTTAATAATTCAAAGTAAGATAGAAGAAAATAACAGAGGTGCTGCGGACTGGGAGTGGGAGCCTCCGCAAGTTATATACAAATATCAAAATGCTTCAGTATGAGCTACAACTATTGATTAATAAAATGTACGTTTATTATAAATAAAATTATATCGTTATAAGTGGCTTAATTTTATGAAATGTCTGAAACATGAGAATTTTCTTTATATTTAAAGTATGCGTACAGTGGTTTTAAGAAGTTTCACATTTAAGAAACTCATGTAGCTTATTTTTACAAATTTTAATATTTACGATGCTGATTGTATCACATTTTGTCAGATCTCCTCTGTGGTGAGTCTCTGAAGACAGAAGTGTTATGCACAGAGCGGTTATGGCTATGTATCGCGATTTCTTTAAATAGGAATCAGATTTGACGTTTTACTATCATTTTACGTGTTAAGTTTTTAAAAATTTAAATTTCCCGCGTCAGTACAATTTAGTTTCAAATCAGTACATTGGCATCACTGATTTCAGTACAAAAAAATATATTCTAGGAACAACACTGCTTAGTTCTGTCTGCAAAGCATGAGCTCTCTGTGAATGTGTTAGAATAATAAACTTTGTGTTTAATTATTATTGAGGTAACACAAAATAGTGAAATATTTGTTTTCTGTTACGTAATGTGCTTTTGACATTAATGTGTTGTGTTGTTACTACGAAATACTATGGCAAATTGTATGGATACCATGCTTTTTTGAACCCAACATGGTTACACTCCATATTGTTCGTTTGAACTTAAATTAACACTAATATTGTAAGTTGTGCTTTTAACATAACAGAAGTTAGGATTAATATGGATAC